CGTTAATCACATTAATCCCCCCCCCGTTGTCGGTGCCCCTCCCTTCTGTGGCAGCAAGAGCCCCGCAGAGCCCGGGGGAGTCCCCGGTGCCCGCTGACCCCTGGTCACCCGCAGGCGTGCCCCATGAACAGCCACGTGCCCGGCCGCAGCGGGCGCTCCGTGCAGGAAATCTGGGAGGATTTCTCCCTCAGCTTCACCCCCGCTGTCCGCGAGGTCGTTGAGTTCGCCAAGCACATTCCCGGCTTCCAGGCGCTCTCCCAGCACGACCAGGTCACCCTGCTCAAGGCTGGCACCTTTGAGGTACGTCCCGGAATGGCGAGGGCTCGATGGACGGCACGGTGCCCCACAGACTGACAGGATGCCCCATGGCATTGCCTGGAGCCCCAGAGTGTGGGCACAGTGGCTCAGAACACGGCAGCAGTCCCGTGGCATTGCAGTGCCCCACATTTGGGAGCCACAGCACTCATGGCATTGCGTGGTGCCTCAGAGCACTGCAGTGCCCCACATTTGGGATCTGTGGCACAGAGCACAGTGTCATGGCACAGTGCCCTGTGGACTGGCACGGAGCCCTGCAGCACTGCAGTGCTTCACAAATAGGAGTTGTGGCATGCAGCACAGCGCTCCTGGCATTACACAGTTCCCCATGGCACTGCAGTGCCACACTTTTGGGAGCTGTGGCGTGGGGCACCCCTGGCATGGCACCGCACATTTTGGAACTACGGACCGACACGAAACCTCGTGGCACTGCCCCGTGTCCCATGGCATTGTAACACCCCACATTTGGGAGCTGTGGCATGAAACACAGTGCCCCTGGCATCACACAGTACCCATGGCATGGTACCCCACATTTGGTGGTCACAGTATGGACCACGGAGCCCCATGGAATGGCACGATGCTCCTGGCATTGTCTGGTGCCCCATGGCACGGCAGTGCCCCACACTCAGGAGCCGTGGCACGAAGACAGGTGTCCCTGGCATGAAGTGCAGCGCCCGTGGCTCTGCCTGGTGCCCCGTTCCATATCCTGCCCCGCTCCCACAGGTGCTGATGGTTCGCTTCGCGTCGCTGTTCGACGTGAAGGAGCAGACAGTGACGTTCATGAGCCGCACGCGGTATGGGCTGGAGGAGCTGTGGGCCATGGGCATGGGCGACCTCCTCGGGGCCATGTTCGACTTCAGCGAGAAGCTCAGCGCCCTTGAGCTCAGTGATGAGGAGCTGGGGCTCTTCACCGCCGTTGTCCTTGTCTCGGCAGGTGGGCACGGGAGGGTTTGAGGAGTTTTGAGGGGAATTGAGGAGTTTGGGGCTGAGGTCAGAAGAGGAAAAGGATCGAGGGGTTTGGGACTGGGATCAGGGGATTAGTGGGGAGTTTGGGGCACTCAGGGATGGGATGGGGTGGCACTGAGGTGGTATCAGAGGAGTATCAGGGGGTTCAGTGCTGGGGTCGGGGTGATGCTGGGGTGGGATCA